TATTTTATGGAGCAATGTCATAGAAATGCCATTTTGGGTTCCGAAAAAGAACCTTTCAGTGGGTGGTTCTTTAATCATTTGAGCAAATAAGAAGAGTGAGTGTGAAGAACATTTTTGAAGTTTTTGAAGATCCTCCATATCACACTTTTTAAGTCAACCTAAGGTTTTTCCTAGAACCACACCATACCAGAACCATACCAAGCCAGGGACCATTTATATGCTTTATGCTATAAAATATTATACAACATTCAACTTAACAAAAAAGCGTACATGGTAAAGCCTATTGTGATACGCAATAATGATATCCCAATATTGTAGCATACTACACTGCTATACAACCCTATAATAATGACTTAATGAATTACCATTAATAAAAATTATATCTGCTCTGTACTGAAAAATAATGCCAAGCATTAAAGAAAGGAAACATTCACAGCCGTGAATTGTGGCACTTAAGACAAAATATAGGATATAAAGGTATTCATTACATCCTGACACAGCTTATACCCTCTATAAACATACTGTATATACTAGCTTATTAAAATCTAACATGCTTTGGTTGGAATTTAAAGGTGTAAGGGGTACAACGGAGGTGCAAAAGTGGTAAAAGTGCTGTATTTATAAGAAAATGGTAGGATTACCCTTTAGGTAAAGAATTAAACTACTTATGCATTAAACTACCTGCATTATGCCTTAATTTCTTTACCCCCAGCACCTTTAATTTGATGGAAGCATTGTCATGCAAACATATTAATTTGATTCCCTTACCTTCCCAGTGCTGGGGAGAGTCTGTGTCCGCGTGAAAGTGTCCCCTCCATTAATGCTGATCAGCTCTGCGTCTGCAGGCGGAAACGGCGACGGGAAAACCACAACATCGCTCTTCAATGTGTCTGAGCTAAAGCACACGTCGTACTGCTGAGTGGCTTTAGAGTAAGACCAGCTCCCGTCAGGGTGTGTAGTGACCACTGGAGCAGTGCACCCACTCAAACCGCCCTCTGACCCGTAGCATTTAGCTGCTATCAAACCGATAAGGCTCAGCAGAAAGATCACCGACACTGAGACAATAGCGATGAGCAGATACAGATTCAGATCAGAAAAGCCCTCCTCCTTCATCGGCACTTGTCTTAGGGAAGGCTGCACGCTGTCCAGACTTTCAACCACCACAACCTCAACAGTCACTGTAGCTGACAGTGAAGGTTCTCCATGGTCACATACTGTCACAACAAGTGGGTGAGTTTTCAGGTCGTGGTCACTCATTCGTCTCTTAGTCCTGATTTCTCCAGTGCTGCTACCAATGCGGAACAGATTAGTCCCCTTAGGTTCAGTGATGTGATAAGACAGCAGCGCATTATAACCAGAATCAGCATCTACAGCTCGGACTTTAGCCACAAAGTATCCCGCTTCAGCAGAGTAGGGGATGTTCTCAGTGTTTACTGACCCAGCTTCAGAGTAAGGAGGTAAGATAACTGGACTGTTGTCATTCTCATCCAGGATGAAGACATTTATAGTTACATTACTACTAAGTGGAGGGACACCAGAGTCAGTGGCCTGAACTTTAAACTGAATCTGTTTGGTTTCCTCGTAATTGAAGGACTGTAAGCTGAACAGTTCACCTGAGAGGGAGTTTATGTTCATTAAAGTGGACACAGGCGCGCTAGCGCCCTCTGCAGCGATCAAAGAATATGACACGTGCGCATTATCGCCGTCATCTACATCTCGCGCTGCCAGAGTTGCTAACAAAGTGCCCACTGGACTATTTTCTTGTACGTTAATGTTAATAATCGGTGCTGGAAATAGTGGTGCGTTATCGTTCACATCTGAAACGTGAACCTGGATGACTGAGGTGGTAGAAAGCGGTGGACTCCCCTCATCATTGGCAGTAATAGTTATATTATATTGGGACACTCGTTCTCGATCTAATGGCTCATTAACAACAAGCGAATATGAGTTTTTATATGATGATTGTAGTTTAAAAGGGCTTCTTCCTGTTACTCTACAGTCTACTTTGCCATTTGCGCCACCATCTTTGTCTGAAACTGTAACCAAAGCGAAACCAGTGCCAGGCTTTATATCCTCACTTACCGAGTTCATGAGCAAGGTTACTGAAATTTCAGGTGCATTATCGTTTATATCCACCACTTCTATCAATACTTTGCAAATAGCATGTCTTGGAGAACGACCCTTATCTCTTGCCTGCACTCTTAGCTCAATAGCTGGATTTTCTTCATAATCAATGTGTCCTTTCACTGTAATATCACCTGAATCTGGGTTTATAGAAAACAAATTTACTACAGAGCTTCTCTCATGGCCTACAATGGAATATATAACTTCACCATTCACATCTTCATCAGAGTCCGTAGCAGAGACAGTCACAATTTTAGTCCCAATAGGCGCATTCTCCTGGACTTTGACTTTGTACAAAGCCTTGCTAAACACTGGATTATTGTCATTAATGTCCAACACATACACCATCACCTCCAAAGCCCCGGATCTCGGAGGTTTCCCACCGTCTACAGCAGTGAGAGTGAGTTTAACCACAGCTTGCTTCTCTCGATCTAAAGCTTTCTGCAAGACCAGCTCTGCTGAGACCCCTTCTCCACTGCTCTGGACATCTAGTGAGAAATATTCATTCGTACTAAGCTTGTAGCTCTTCACCGCGTTCGTGCCCACGTCCGTGTCACGCGCTGAAGGCAGAGAAAAGCGATCTCCAGGGAGAACGTTTTCAGTAATGTTTAGCACAAGAGTCTCAAGTGAGAAAACCGGCGAGTTGTCGTTAATGTCTACGATATTCACTTCAACACGGTACAGCGTCAGAGGGTTTTGCGCCATCGCTTCGATATTCAAGGAACATCTCTGCTTAGTCTCGCACAGCTCCTCCCTGTCGAGCCTGTCGTTCACAAACAGAGCTCCCGTTTTCAGATTCACGTCGAAATACCTCTTATTAGATCCCGCCACCACCTGAAACATGCGCGATTGCAGCTCCTGGACATCGATGTTGAGATCTTTCGCTATGTTCCCAACAACGGTGCCCTTCTTCAGCTCCTCTGAGACGGAGTACGAAATCTGAGCGCGAGACAAACCCCAAAAAGATAAAAGCAGCAGCGCCCAGATGCAGGAAGGTCCTCCACTGACCGTGAAACCCATCGCTTCTCTCTCTCTCTCTGCGTGTTTAAGGTATTTAAACAGTCAATCGCTACACATGATATTATATTCAACGCTCAGACATTCGCTTAGCCAACACCAGTCTACGTTCACGAGTCTCTCTTACGCACCTCCCACGAATTCAGTATTCAGAAAGAGGAACCTGAGAGTCATTCATGAGTCACGAACTTCAAAATCACGGTCAACAGCGACATCTTGTGTTTGCAGATGGTTTCACACTGAAATTCTACGAGCTTCAAAACTTACAGATGTTTAACCATACAAAGTTGGAAAAAGCGAATGAAAATGAGATGTAGGAATAATGAAGCGCGTGTTTTCAGTTCCTTCACTTTAAATGTTTTTTCTACCATTAATTGGCTACTTTAGACATTAAAAACCACCATCAGAGATTTCAGAAAAGCATCCAACTGGCAACAAATTATTCATTCATTCATTCATTCATTCATTCATTCATTCATCACCTTTAACCGCTTAATCCAGCTAGGGGCGCAGGAAATTATTATTGTTATTATTATTATTATTATTATTATTATTATTATTATTTAAATAGAAAAAATGTTAATTAAAAAACTACATTCTAATTTTGTCTGGTTTTGGTCATTATTTTATTTTATATTATTATTATTATTATTATTATTATTATTATTATTATTTATTTATTTATTTATTTTTTATTTATTTCATCTTATTTTATTCCTTTTTTTTACCAAGAGCAATAGCAGAGGAAACATTACAACAAGAACACTACACACAAAGATATTGTGGTTATGGATTGGACTACTTTTAATGATAAAACTCAGACAATAAAGTTTGACTGCTACATCTAAATTTGCTGTATATTTTCATAGCCCTGAGATGGACTGGCGACCTGTCCAGGGTGTTTCCTGCCTTCAGCCCAGTGACTGCTAGGAAAGGCTCCAGCACCCCACCGCGACCCAGAAGGATAAGCAGCTTAGAAAATGTGTGTGTGTGTGTGTGTGTGTGTGTGTGTGTGTGTGTGTTTTCATATTGCATATTTGAAAGCTATAATGCGGTGATGACGTGGAAATTTCAGAAAGCTTCTAATACAAATTCAGCCTTTTTAAATTAAAGATTGCCAAAAATTAAAATAAACAATAGTATATTCAAGAAGACTTCAGGCGCAACCACACATGTCCTCAAAAAGATCATAAAATCATAAAGGTGGGTTTTTGAAAAGAGCACCATGAAATTAACACCAAATGACAAGAGAAACATCCAAACCAGACCATGAAATAAAGTTTAAATCTCTTCTGTGTTTAGGAAAAAAAAAAAAATCATCAAGCCGGCCACGTGAACAATTGTCCTAATTCAACTCACATGCTGGACAGCGATTAATACCAAGAAAACCAGCAATTTCAGACCTTTTAAGCCTACGTCATTTCCTGATCGGTGTGGTTTTTCTAAGTAGTTAATATTTTTCGCGCTACATTCTTAAAACAAATGTGTTAAACAACAAACTGTCTCTAACCAGACACAATAGTGTGTTCAGCTGGACACGACACGTTTTGAGTTACTTCTAACACAAAATGTGCTGAAATATTTCTATACCCAGTTATGAATGACATATTTTTGGGTTACTTTTAAATCAGAAAACAATATGACACAAAAACTGTTAAAATGGGGTTAGTGTGTTGTTGTTTAACACATCACTTTTTAGAGTGTAAGTGCAGAACGACAACGAAATAGGTTTACGATTACAGCTTTCAATTTAGAAACAAAAATGCAAATATTAAAAAAAACGGAGAGACTAATTGAGACTACAAACTCACTAAAGCACCTCCAAAGAGCTCTAAAACCTCTTGAGGCTCGTCCGCCAATCAAAAGTGTGATGTAACGCAAAGCTTAACAGCCAATTTCAGCCTTACCTTCCCAGCGCTGGGGAGAGTCTGTGTCCGCGTGAAAGTGTCCCCTCCATTAATGCTGATCAGCTCTGCGTCTGCAGGCGGAAACGGCGACGGGAAAACCACTACGTCACTCTTCAGCGTGTCTGAGCTAAAGCACACGTCGTACTGCTGAGTGGCTTTAGAGTAAGACCAGCTCCCGTCAGGGTGTGTAGTGACCACTGGAGCGCCGCACCCGCTCAAACCGCCCTCTGACCCGTAGCATTTAGCTGCTATTAAACCGATGAGGCTCAGCAGAAAGATCACCGACACTGAGACAATAGCGATGAGCAGATACAGATTCAGATCAGAAAAGCCCTCCTCCTTCATCGGCACTTGTCTTAGGGAAGGCTGCACGCTGTCCAGACTTTCAACCACCACAACCTCAACAGTCACTGTAGCTGACAGTGAAGGTTCTCCATGGTCACATACTGTCACAACAAGTGGGTGAGTTTTCAGGTCGTGGTCACTCATTCGTCTCTTAGTCCTGATTTCTCCAGTGCTGCTTCCAATGCGGAACAGATTAGTCCCCTTAGGTTCAGTGATGTGATAAGACAGCAGCGCATTATAACCAGAATCAGCATCTACAGCTCGGACTTTAGCCACAAAGTATCCCGCTTCAGCAGAGTAGGGGATGTTCTCAGTGTTTACTGACCCAGCTTCAGAGTAAGGAGGTAAGATAACTGGACTGTTGTCATTCTCATCCAGGATGAAGACGTTCACAGTCACATTGCTGCTGAGTGGAGGGACACCAGAGTCAGTGGCCTGAACTTGGAACTGAAATCTTTTTGTTGTCTCATAGTTGAATGATTGCATACTAACTATTTCACCATTTACATGATTAATGTGAAACATTGTTGATATCGGAACCTCAGTGTTGGTGTTCTCTAACAGTATGTATGAAAGTTCAGCATTCACTCCAAGATCTGGATCATTTGCCATTACTTTTGTCACATGACCCCCAACTTGGCCATTCTCGCGTACATAAGCATCAATAACAGGTGCTGAAAACTGTGGTGCGTTATCATTAACGTCAGAGATGTAAACAGTGAGTACACTGCTGCTGGATAGAGGTGGAGCTCCTTCATCTGTAGCTGAAATGGTGATGCTATAATCAGAAATGCTTTCTCTGTCCAGAGGTCCATCTACTACCAGGGAGTAATGGTTGCTATATGATGAGTCCAGTTTGAAAGGGAAGGAGCCTTTAATAGAACAGTGTACGAGGCCATTTTTGCCTCCATCTCTGTCAGAAACTGTAACTAAAGCCACAGCAGTTCCAGGCTTGGTGTCCTCCTTCACGCTATCCAGCAGTGGGGTCATTATAATCTCTGGTGCGTTGTCATTCTCATCTAAAACTTCTACCAAAACTTTGCATTGAGTACTTCTAGGAGGGCTGCCTTTATCTCTGGCTTGGATTCTCAACTCAATGGCAGGTGTTTCTTCATAGTCAATCTGGTTCTTCACCACAATGTCTCCGGTTTCAGGAATGACAGTAAATAAACCATCTGTTTTGGCATTTGCACGTCCAAAAAAGGAGTAAACAAGTTCACTATTGGTGCCTTCATCTAAATCAGTGGCAGTAAGAGACATAATCTTAGTACCTACTGCAATATTTTCTCTGACTTTGACTTTGTAGAGAGGCTTATTGAAAACGGGCTTATTGTCATTGACATCTATTACATGTATAGTAATATGTAATGTCCCTGTCTTCTGAGGTTTTCCACCATCAAGAGCAGTCAATACTAAACTAATAGCCGACTGTTTTTCTCTGTCCAAAGCTTTCTGAAGAACTAACTCTACAGAAACAGTGGGCTCTCCACTCTGCACATCAATGGAAAAGTATTCATTGGTACTTAGTCTGTAATCTTTCAGCGAATTACTGCCAACATCGGCGTCCTCAGCCACTGGAAGATGAAATCTCTCTCCTGGACTTGCATCCTCTGTAATATTCATACTTATTGCGCTGTCCAGAAAGCGTGGCGCGTTATCGTTCACGTCCAGAACGTTTATCTCAACCCGATAAAGGTTATGAGGGTTCTGCGCGAGGGCCTCTACGTTCACAACGCATCTCTGACTGTGCTCACAAAACTCCTCGCGATCAATCCTCTCGTTCACAAACAGCGCCCCTGTCTTCATATTTACCTCGAAATACTTCTTGTTAGATCCGGACACGATCTGAAACGTACGTGACTCGAGCTCGTGAACGCCGATCTTGAGATCTCTGGCGATGTTTCCAACCACTGTACCTCTGTCCACCTCCTCCGAGACGGAATACACAATCTGACCGAGCGATGTTTCCCATAAACAAACCCACAAAAGGAGCCACATGCGGACACATCCATAGATCTTCATGTCTGAGCAACGACTACCAGATCAGAAGAGATGATCAATAAAGGTCTATTTCGTTTCACAGTCCGACCCTCCGTACAGTATCTTCACCAAACCTCTCTCTCCTCCTGAACAAGAGCGTTTCCGATTGCAGAGACTCAGTAAAGGAGGAGCCGCGCATTGAAATGAGGCTGCAGCCTTCAAACTCATGGTCTACAGCGACATCGCGTGACGTAACGGCGGTAATGCAGCACATTTAAAAAAATAAAATAAACCAAACTGATTGTTTGAGTCACTAATATTATTATTATTATTATTATTATTATTATTATTATTGCTTCGTAATACAGAGCATTGGAAGTTTACGTTGAATCACACTTTTGTCACACTCTTAAAAAAGACAGTTCAAATGTTCTTTGGTAAAAACAGTGGTTCTATTTAGAATCATGAACACTAAAAGAACCGTTTGCATACTTAAATGCTTCTTTGCGTTGTAAAACCCTCTTCAGATTGATGGAAAATGTGTTGTATGTGGTTCTGCGTTGCACCAGAAACGGTTCTGCTATCGTTACAAGCTCGACATCGTAACAACAAAAGAACCTTTTTGGTGCTATATAGAACCATTTTCAAAAACGTTCTACAGAGGATGATATGCAAAACATTCTCCATTAATCTGAAGAACGACTTCACTATGCAAAGAATCGTTTAGGCATGCAAAATATATTTTGGGATAAACCCAAAGAAATTAATAATCCCAAAAAGTAAAATAGTTTTAGGTTTGTATGGATGTCCCACAATGAACTGATGTGTTTATTATGACGCAGCCGGTACAGGAAGCGATAGCGACCGCTGTTCATGGTGCTGAAAAGAGGCTAACGTCACAACTGCGTGGCTTCGGGCTGAACGTTTAGCTCAGTAGTTTCCAAAATGTTTGAGTCACGACGATCAGGGGGAAAAAATATAAATAAATAAATAAATAAATAAACCCTCTGTTGTAATTTTTACTTTATTCACACGGTTCCTCTCTGGTGCTAGTTGTCAGTTCCCTTTAAGCCACAAAAATGTGCTTATTATCTGCATGAAAGTCCGAAATTCTGAACCTTGTATTTGCTCCCACAGTGCCCCGCGTAGTCTTTCTCAGAAAATCAGCAACAGTAGAACAGTTTTGATTAATGCATTAAAGGATAGATATTCATAAATCTGTTGAGCTTTAGTGAGTTAAAACCCTCTTAAATATAAATATGTTAAAACTGTACCGCCAACAGTTTTAGTAGGATATTATACACACAGTATATAATCATATGTATTTAGGACAATCAGGTTTAAATGTGTTTAGAACGACTACACGTGACGGTCAGATTGATGGAGAAAGTTCTGTAGAGGGTTCTATAAAGAACTATTATATATATATTTTGTTTTTTTTTCCTATTTTTACAAGCTTGACATCAACATATTTTTCTCTACACTGTTAGAAATAAAGGTTCTGTGCAGGTACAGCTTAGAACATATCATTTCAGTGGATTTATGGTACAGTTATGTTCCCTGACTAAAGGTACTGAGATGTACCCTTGAGGGAACCACCCCAGTGACAAGAGGGGGACTGCCCCAGTGACAGTTTAGTACCTTTTTTCTGAGAGTGTAAGTGATGAACAATTATTCAAAAATTATTCTCCAAAATAAATACATACATGCCAACCCTGGCCACAACATCCTTAAAATTGCAGGCTGGGGTTCGCGACCCCCTTCGTCTCGACTAACCCAAACACAGCACAGCAAAGGTTTTCAAATTTTATAGAGAATGTGTACTTTAGCAGAAGACGCTTCTGCAGTCCACATCTGTTGCAAAACATGTGCTACATTGATAACTCTACTGCTTCCGTGAAGGTTAATTCAATTCACAAGCCCCTTACCTTCCCAGTGCTGGGGAGAGTCTGTGTCCGCGTGAAAGTGTCCCCTCCATTAATGCTGATCAGCTCTGCGTCTGCAGGCGGAAACGGCGAGGGGAAAACCACTACGTCACTCTTCAGCGTGTCTGAGCTAAAGCACACGTCGTACTGCTGAGTGGCTTTAGAGTAAGACCAGCTCCCATCAGGGTGTGTAGTGACCACTGGAGCGCCGCACCCGCTCAAACCGCCCTCTGACCCGTAGCATTTAGCTGCTATCAAACCGATGAGGCTCAGCAGAAAGATCACCGACACTGAGACAATAGCGATGAGCAGATACAGATTCAGATCAGAAAAGCCCTCCTCCTTCATCGGCACTTGTCTTAGGGAAGGCTGCACGCTGTCCAGACTTTCGACCACCACAACCTCAACAGTCACTGTAGCTGACAGTGAAGGTTCTCCATGGTCACATACTGTCACAACAAGTGGGTGAGTTTTCAGGTCGTGGTCACTCATTCGTCTCTTAGTCCTGATTTCTCCAGTGCTGCTTCCAATGCGGAACAGATTAGTCCCCTTAGGTTCAGTGATGTGATAAGACAAGCTAGCTGTGATGTGTTTTCTTCGTATCCTGCAGTTCTACAGTCAATTCTTCAGTAACCTTCATTTTTCTGTGCACTGGGCAATGGTGTTATCCACTGTTCCATCACTACCATCCAGCTAGACCTTCTTTTAAGTTTAAGATTGTGGTGTGAATCAGTAAAGCTTTATGGCGTAGCCTGCAGTACTCAGGCCAAATATGACTGACATATTTGATTTTTAAACAGACATTTTAGGCTTTACAATGTGACGCACAGCAATACAAGGACATTGTTTTATTATGTTATTTTATCTAATGGCTCAGCAATAAAATTTAAACTTTAAATATTATCACTTTAATTAAAGGTGCCATAGGACGGAAATGGATTTTATATTGGCATAGTTGAATAAGGTTTGGTACATAGAACTGAGGTGAACATTCTGCACTGTTAGAAATAAAGGTTCTGTTCAGGTACATTTTTTGTTCATCAAGGTACAAACAATGTAATTGTTCCCTCAAATGTACAACAGTGGTTTTAAGGACCCATCATGTACCTTAAATAGGTTTTTCCAGGTGAAAAATACAAATTTGTTCCTTTTCATAACCGAATGTTTTTAAACAGAACAGTAAAATAAAAGCCTGGAGACGAGACGGGGTGTGTGGAGTCAGTACAGCTTAGAACATATAATTTCTGTGGATTATGGTTCAGTTATGTTCCCTGACGAAAGGTACTGAGATGTACCCTTGAGGGCTCCACCCCAGTGACAAGAGGGGCAGTTTCATACCTTTATTTCTGAGAGTCTATGAATCTCAAACACTTTTGGCTCCTCCTTCAAATGCAAATCCAGCATTAGCAAAAGAGGGCAGTAAAATTGGGCCGATTCCAAAATCTTAAACTGTTACGTAACAGACTTACTAATGTTTACTCCACAAAAGTTTACATTGGGATACGAAGAACAAAATGACAAGAACAGAGCAACAGCAATGAAAATGGCAGATTACCAGTAGAAATGTACTGTTCCAGGCTGTGAAGGGATGTCGGCAATTTTTATACCTTCCCAAGGAACCGAAATGTCATGACTGTTCATCGTCAAATAAGGCTGAAGTTGGCTTCCTACTCACCTGCTTCTTAAATGAATATTCCATTCCACCTTAAATGCTACAGGCACAATAATGTAACTGCAGCACAATTTAAGGTGGAAAGGAAAATTCCCAAAATAATCTGGGAAATACACTGTAAAGAGTGGCTTGTCAGATCTACTTAAAAAAAAAAAAAAAACTTCATGTGGTGACAAGCAACTGAACTAGTTTTATTCAAATTTAAAAACGGCATTGATTGAGGTTATTTAGGTTGAATAAAACGAGTTCATTTACTTGTTACCACATGAAATAATTTTTTAAGGAGATCTGACAAGCCACTTTTTACAGTGTAAGAAGTCAACTTTAGCTCCTACGTCTTTAACAGGATCCCAGACAACTTTAATTCAAATTTGTTAATTTGCTCTGCACCTTTTGCTCTGAACAGTTTCTTAAACGCTGGATAATATTGAGTAGCTTCTCTCAGCCTTTGACCCTGAAGAGACAGAGGGGCAGTTCCAAATTTATTAGCATCACAAGCCCAACAGCAGCCTGTAAGTAGCCATGCTGTGTGATTTTATCCACTCTTTGACGGTTGAAGCCAGATCATCTTAAAATGAAAGTTTCATAGTGAGCTAAAAACTTATTTTGTGTTGTTGTTGAGATCAAAAACGAGTAGCTAGTATAGGTAACACTCTATCTACTAGCAAGCTCCAAGCAACTAGCATAGCTAACTAAATAGTATGAGAACCGAGCCATGTTGCTTCATTCTGAGCCATCGCTGTAAACGAGCAATTTAGAGCAGAGCTCATCAGATTATTCATGTTATTCATGAGCCCCCCAAAAGACGGAAAGCAGCTTGTTTCATTTTAGGGTCAAATCATAAGTCTGTAAATGATCAAGTAAAACAGCATCTGGGCATTTTTCATTTCAACTAAAGTCACACACCTTCAATGTAGATGTCAGGGAACGACTGAAAATTCTATGGCATCTTTAAAAAAGTAAACAACTTATAAAGTAGACGTATAATAAACAGGTCACTGATATATTAACTAATACTGAAAAACTCTTACAAACTGAATTAGCTAATAAATTGTTAAAGTAGCCACTCACAGATGTCATTTTTATGAGGATATTTTTTTCCCTCTTGAAAGCAAAATTAAAACTAAACGTAAATACTTATTTTGAAATAGGTATTATATTTTCACAGCTTGTGAATAACAACTGAATTCTTGATTTATTTATGATGAGTAAACTAAGCAGTCAATCAATATTTTTCATTTAATATATTAGCTAATAATCAACAAGTGAAAATGATTGAGTGGTTATTGACGAGATAATTATGAAGTAAAGGCTGATAAATGTGTCATAAACTATTGTTATTATAAAGTGTCACATTCTTATTTTATTTTTTATTGATCTATATTTGATTTAGGTTGGGTTTTTCTTAAAAAGTGTGACATTAATTTGTTGCATTCCTTTCCAGTCACACACCATCTTGACAGAACTGCATCGGCAACCCACCCAACCCAACGGGTGCATTGTTATTTATGTTAGAAACATAAATGATTATTTCTCTAGTTTTAGAAAGAGAAGGAGAGCCTTCATCACTGGCGATGACTGTGATGTTATACTGGGAGGCCTGCTCTCTGTCCAGCGGTTCATTTACCACAAGAGAATATGAGTTTTTATAGGACGGCTGTAGCTTAAATGGACTCGCTCCTGCTATTTTACAGTCTACTTTTCCATTCTTACCATCGTCTTTGTCTGATACAGTGATTAACGCTACTTTAGCACCAGGTTTGATGTCCTCACTTACCGAGTTCATTAGTACGGTGACTGAAATATCAGGTGGATTGTCATTCACGTCAGAAATATCAATGACTATATTTCCAGTGCTAGAAAGAGAAGGAGTGCCTTCATCACTGGCGATGACTGTTATGTTATACTGGGAGGCCTGCTCTCTGTCCAGCGGTTCATTTACCACAAGAGAATACGAGTTTTTATAGGTTGGCTGCAGCTTAAATGGACTCGCTCCTGCTATTTTACAGTCTACTTTACCATTTTTACCATCATCTTTATCAGATACAGTGATTAATGCTACGTCAGCGCCAGGTTCGATGTCTTCACCTACCGGGTTGACGGGCAGAGTGACTGAAATTTCAGGTGCATTATCATTTACATCCTCAACTTCAATTAACACTTTACAGTGTGAACGCTTTGGTGAGCTGCTTTTGTCTTGAGCTTGTACTCTTAGTTCAATAGCTGTATTTTCCTCATAATCAATGTTGCCTTTAATTGCTATATCTCCCGTTGTGTCGTTTAATGAAAATAAATGCCATGCTGAGTTTCCCTCTTTATGCACAGTTGAATAAATAATTTCTCCATTTGTTCCTTCATCTGAGTCAGTAGCAATGACAGTAAAGATTTTCGTTCCTAAAGGTACGTTCTCTTTTATTTTAACTTTATATAAAGACCTGCTGAACACTGGACTGTTATCGTTTATGTCCAGCACATTTATTATTATGTCCATTGTCCCTGATTTGGGAGGTTTCCCTCCATCAACAGCCGTGAGCGTGAGCTTAATTACAGACTGCTTCTCTCGATCTAAAAGTTTCCGTAGCTCCAATTCTGCCAAGCCACTCTGCTCATAGCTTTGAGCGACCAGTGAGAAATATTCATTATGGTTAAGCTTGTAGCTTTTCACCGAGTTTATCCCGACATCCAAGTCTTGTGCTGCAGGCACAGAAAACCGCTCTAAAGCATGAGCATTTTCAGACATGTTCTTCACAAACTTCTGAAGGGGGAAAACTGGAGCGTTGTCATTAATATCCGCTACCGTCACATCAACATCATCAGTAATTAATGGATTCTCTGCCGTTACCTGGAACTTAAGCGTGCATTTCTGAGAATTCTTGCACAGATCCTCCCTGTCGAGACTATTGTTAACAAGCAGTTCTCCAGTTTTCAGATTCACGTCAAAATATCCTTCATCACCACCCAAGATTTGTAACCTGCGCTTTGCCAGGCTCTGTACATCAATGTTGAAGTCCTTTGCTAAGTTCCCAACAATGGTGCCCATATCCACTTCCTCTGAGATGGAGTATGAAATCAGAGCCTGAGACAAACTCCATGAACACAGAAGTAGCAGCACCCTGATCAAATCAGATCCTCCACTGAAAGCCATTGCTCCTCTGTGTTTATTCCAAAGTCAGGTTGACACTATTCCATCAACATATAAGCTGCCTAGATGATATTTGAGGCCTCTTCTGTCAAGTCCAGTGCACGATGGTGTGGCTTTCTAACCACTCTTATCTGATTATGCAGCAGAGAAGGTGGAGACTTTTGTTTATGAGACACAGACACATTTGGTCAAGAGTGACACCGTGTGGCTGTACAGGACAGCACCAGAGACGCAAACTTCTAACTGCACCAAAACAGAGAGAAAGAACTTTAATATCATTGAATGATTCATCAGAAATCTAAAGACAGGATCAGGGATTGGTCAAAGTCAGTTTTGTTTGTTGTGTTTTGCAATGTTTTTTAGCAGATTGTCTAACATCAAGAGTTGTTAATGATGTCAATGGGATTATTTGGGTTAACTGTAGTGGTAACTGTGATGCAACTATTAAAGATTTAAAATGTTACTATTTTAAAGTAATAACTCTGAGAAAAATGTCTTTCTTTCAGACAGAGCAGGGGATGAACTAAGGCTTCTTATGCATGACCGACAGTGTTTTCCTGTCCAACAATGAAAAAAAATGCACAAAAGTTTTCAGTAGATGTTAGTAGATCTTTACTAAGTGCACATTTTAAATTTTCAGCTTAGATGACAAACTGTCTGCATGATTACAATAGCAGTGGAACCTCATTCCCACCAGATAAAGGCAATTCTAAGGTCTAAGAAACAGAAACGAAGTTAAACAAAACATATTAACCCTCTATTGCATGATGTTGCCTCAGGGCAACAAACTCATTTTCCTCACTTTACAATAACGTTATACATATTTAAAGACAACCACAGGGTTAACAATAAAGGGAAGAGTTTGAGTAAATCAATAAAAAGCATGTTCCTGGTCATACTATCTCTTAGTGGGCACTTTAAACCTCTTTTTTAACAACGAGTATCAATTTTTTTGTTATGAGATTGTGCAGAAATATGTTTGTTGCCTAGAAGCAACATTGTGCGACAGTGGAATGGACTTGGCCAGTCACAAGCCAGGTCTTACCTTTTCAGGGAACACAGCTCTATATCATTTCTTCCCATTGATGCACAATGTTGCCTCAAAACAACATACTACAAAAGGACACCTGCACACATTATTATTATTTTTATTTTTTTTTTTTAATTGAATAATTGGGTCCGAAAAAATAAGTCAAGGACCATTTTATGCAAGTAAAAGTGAATGGATTTTTTTTTTTCAGTTGCTCTCATAATGCATGCAGTAGAGGGTTAAAAAGGCCGCCATTGACTGCTATGTGTTTAAATTCCACTTAGAATCAAAATGAAAAGACAAAATGAAGTTGCTCTCTCTATATATATATAAACTTAATGACATGGAACATATGAAATATGGAAGCAGAGGATGTGGTGGCAGAGGATGTGGAGGCAGAGGATGTGGAGGCAGAGGATGTGGTTGCAGAGGATGTGGTGGCAGAGGATGTGGAGGCAAGGGGTGTTTTTTTTTATCTACAGCATGCAAACAGAATACAGAAGAATCTATACTAGCTAACAGGTTCACAAACCTAATGGAAGAAAATAATCATTAACTACACAGCTATTGCTTATATCATGGCAAAAATGTGCAAAAACAGGATAAAAATGCTAAATTAATTACTCAGAGTGAACAAATTAACTACATAAAGAAAGACACTTAAATGTTCACACATCTAAGTAAGTTGCATCATAACTCCAAACAATCATTCAGTGCATATGGAAATGCACAGTAAGTAAATCACTGCCAGTGACATCCATTATCCACACCAAGATTCATGGTATTTGGAGTTTGTGCCTCTGTGCGCAAATCTGATCTTTTCAAATCCAGCCTAAGCCACTTTCATATGTGGTCCTAGATCGGATACGTATCCGATTCATGGCCATGCAACCTTAATGTGGCGCTCAGATCGGAATTCATGTGCTTTTTTCCCACTGCACACGCGCCATCATTCAGCTTTACCACGGCAGCAGCGCTGAACAGACGTTAAAGCCTGTAAACAATGGCAAAGCAGCTCATCTCACCTTTTTCTCCTTCGTCTCGCTCTAATAATGAAGCTGAGAGCTGATCAGAGTTAATTATCTTCTCAGCGAAGCTCGTTCTGCTCGTTAGTTTGTGCTGATGATGAACGTGATTCATTCATGTGACATTACTGAGGAGGATGTGCTCATGAGGGTCATTTCAGGACGCCGGTTCGTTCACATTAATGACAGATTTGAATCACTTACCTAAACGAGTGTGAACCATCGTGTCAGAGAGATCAGATTTGGACAAAAAATCGGATTTGAGAAATGAGGCTTGTAATGTGAACGTAGCTAAAGTGACTCAGGTCAGATTTAAAAAGATCAGATTTGCGTGTCCACAGTCGCATTAGGGCAAAAATCGGATTTGTGCCACTATAACCTGGCAATGTGAACGTAGCCTATGTTTGTACATTGACTCAATATAACGTCATTTCTTTACCATTCTGAAACATCTCAGCCATGCAGGTTTGCCCATCAACTTAGAACAAGGCAAATTTACCTGTAGGCTACATAGCTCATGGTTGTTGAGGGTACATTACGTGTACCACTGTTAGTTGTGCTGGATTCAATAACTTTGTTGCCATTTGTCCCTCAGCTAAAGCTCCACTGTTCATCTGCACTAGTGTTTGTGAGAGCATTACAGAGCTTCCATTTCCCAGTCAGTGCAACTCAGCCCTTCTCCTGGCTGGCATCACAACTGGTGGAGAATGCGGGCATGCCCACTTGGCCCATCTGACTGGGAGGTCGAGGGAGACTCAGGAGCGCAACACAGCTCCAGTGTATGTGGCTTTAGTTTAGTTTATTTTAAAAATTTAGTTTATTTTAAAAACCCGTGGCTCACTATTTCTAAAATCAGGAAAGAGATACGACATGGGATGAACACACTTGAAACTTTACATACACAGGTACACAGGATAGATTATTCAGTGGACATTATTAGAGAAAAAGTATGAGCTGAAGCTGGAGGCTGGGCAGGGAAACAGACTGAGGATGAAGGCTGTGAAGGCTGGACTAGAAAACTGGCTGAGAACATAATATAAAGTGATATGCTATCAGAGGATGTGGTAACAAAAGATATGATCGCAGAGGATGTGACGGCATCGGATGTGGTAGCAGATGATTTGACATTAGCTGAGATGATGTAAAATGCAATAAAACAAATCAAGACCTGCCCACTATTTGTATATAAAATTTAAAATGGAGAATGAACCGCATCTTTGACAGGCAGACTGCTTTGACTCTGAGTATTTTATTCTGGAAGACTGTGTAATATGCATACTAAAGACAACTAACCAATTTATATTTGATGTTGATTTCTCTCTCTGGTTTATCCAAAGCATCTGAGCCTCAACAGCAGCAGCTTAATGGAAACTAAGTAAACCAAAGAGGAAGTATGAAAGTTCCACATGTGATATGCATTGTCGGGTAGAAAATGAAAATAAAAAAGGCCAAATTTCATCATACATCCTAAATGTCCAGATTAGTTTCTAAATGTAATGCATTTCTTGGATAATATTCAGGTATTTTCTATATAACAAGAATAGACTGGAAATTGTTACACAGCAGAAATACTGTTCAGCTGCAAAATTTCACAATAAAATCTTAATAGAGTTCAAAGCTCCACTTCATATAAAGTGTGCCAAATACACTGATTAGGCATAATATGATGACCACCTCCTTGTTTCTACGCTCTTTGTCCATTTTATCAGCTCATCTTACTATATAGGTGCACTTTGTAGTTCTACAGTTACAGACTGTAGTCCATCTGTTTCTCTGCTTACTCTGTTAGCCCCCTTTTACCCTGTTCCTCAGTGGTCAGGACCCCCATGGACCCTCACAGAGCAGGTACTATTTGGGTGGTGGATCATTCTCAGCACTGCAGTAACACTGATCAGACACAGCAGTGCTGCTGGAGTTTTTAAACACTGTGTCCACTCACTGTCCACTCTATCAGACACTCCTACCTTGTCTGTCCACCTTGTTGATGCAAAGTCAGAGACGATAGCTCGTCTAATGCTGCATAGTTTGTGTTGGTCATCCTCTAGTCCTTCATCAGTGGTCACAGGACGCTGTTGGCTGGATATTTTTGGTTGGTGGACTATTCTCAGTCCAGCAGTGACACTGAGGTATTTAAAATCTCCAGCAGCACTGCTGTGTCTGATCCACTCAGACCAGCGCAACACACACTAACACACCACCACCACGTCAGTGTTACTGCAGTGCTGAGAATGATCCACCACCCAAATAGTACCTGCTCTGTGAGGGTCCATGGGGGTCCTGACCACTGAAGAACAGGGTAAAAGGGGGCTAACAAAGCATGCAGAGAAACAGATGAACTACAGTCTGTAACTGTAGAACTACAAAGTGCACCTATATAGTAAGTTGAGCTGATAAAATGGACAATGAGCGTAGAAACAAGGAGGTGGTCATAATGTTATGCCTGATTGGTGTATATTCCCAACAAAATTCATAGCAGAAACAAAATGTGTTTCATTATTATATATAGCTCCATATCTTCTTACAAGTGTAAATTGAAGTAAAAAAGAGTGGCTCATAAATGTGTATAGCAGAAGTGAATGCCAAATGAAACAGAAGTGACAAATATAATAAATTATACCTCAATATTATACCTTATATTTTTTCAAAGACATATTTACAACTGCAAGTGTAATAACCAAGAAAAAAATGTACTTTAAAGTAAAAAAAAGAGAATAATCTCCTCATCATGCCAGTATGTAGGCATAAACAGAGAACAGTACATAGGACGGCTTAGAAACATTAAGTACACAGTACTAAATATGCCTTTTGTAAAGGAAATTGCTCATTTATGGTTTGTTATGCCATCTAGGGGATCTGTGCTGCAACTATCACCTGGTTTATTATGCCATGAACACCTTCTACAAAGGTTAGGTAGTCAAATGTCATATTCAGAGATTCTTATTGATGTAGCAGTGGAGTTGATAACATTTGAAAACATGTAAATTCATTTCAACATTTTTTTTTTTTTTCATGGCATCTATTTTGCCTAAGGTAGTTTTATTGCTAACTGTGATGCAGCTGGGACACTGTAAAGACAATCCTACCAGTCATTGTCAGAAAACATTGTCAGAAGTACATTACAAGTATATTTTCATTCATCAGGGTGCAAATAAAGTATTTGTAGTCTAAAAGGTACAACAGTGACCTTAAAGTCCCATTCTGTGCATTTTTACCTGAGAAAGGTATGCATTTGTACCTTTTCATAACCTAAATTTTTAGAACAAAAAAACTTGGAGTCAAGACAGGGTGTACAGAGTCAATATAAATGTTAATGTTAAAAATTTAATTGCAATTAAATTGTGGTACAATTTTGTTCCCTAATTGCAGATGTATCCCAGTGACATGCGGGGTACCACTCCTGTTTAGTATGTTCTTTTATTTTATCTTCTTTTTAAGTGTATAAATACATTTCTGAGGTGTTTTATTTTAATTCTCACTGAAAGTTGAGCCAAATATTGAAAGAAATGTTTATCTTAAAAACAGAGCAGAGTAAGTACGCAGACTCTTTTGCTCCATTGCCTATCTTGTCTGTGGTTCTGAAAGTAGTGATATGAACTAGATTAAAAAATCTATTAAAAAAACACATTTCCAGCTCAAGTCGTAAGATCTTTTACTGTGCTATTCAAATATTCTCCCATTAATGTTAACAGTATGTCATTTTATACATTTTTTTTGAAAGCACCAATATATCGCTGCTGTCGGAAGAAAACCTTGTATCTCCAAAATGGAGACTTTACAGGAGAAGGAAAAAACCTACTTTACTTTTAATGTAAGTCAATGGAACCAGACTTTTCCAAGCCATTTTGTGCTGTGTATGTAACACAATGTAAAGAGCAGCAGGCATTTTCACATTATGTCAAAAACTAAAAAAAGACTAAATAGGAGACACAAGGTTTTCCTCCGACAGGAGCGATATCTTTTCTAATTATTATATTCCAGAATAATAATAAGACACTGGACGTTTTGGACAAAAACAACACACAAAGGAGGACGCACCAAGAAAACTGACCAAAAAATACAATGGCTCAGTTAAACAATCTCTTCTACTCCTATAACCCTGGTGCACAGAGTGAACTCTCAGATGTGTAAAATGCTTAACCATGATAAGATGTTTAACCAGCGCCGCAATAATGAATAATGACTTTAAAGATTATGTTTAATTTATATTTTTGTTTTATGCCAAGAAAAAGTAGGAAAAGTATGAACCAGAAATAAAGACTTATAGAAAAATCTCAATTACATAAAGAAATATACAGTTAAAAAGGACCTGATTAAGCGCCTCAGATGAGTAGAAACACTTTTGAGATTACATAAGTTTTTAGCCTTGACTTGCTGCTACAGAATGATTACATTACCTTGATGACTGAAACCAGTTATATAATGAGTTACAAAGTAACATTACTAAATCTGTCAAAGCTTCTAAAAAGTTGTATATTGTCCACAGTGGAGTAGTGCAAAATTCTGGGGTCTGAAAGAGTGAGTTTAGGGGCTCTATAGGGGTGAGGTGGAGGTGGAGGCTAGACTAAACAGGTCAATGACACGTTTATAGTAACATGGGCAACGGTTAAAATATCATTCAGTTTCTGCACTGAACCCAAATCATGTTTGCAAATAGAAAGTATTCAAAATAGATAGTATGTTATGTGAAATCAGACTGTATTTTTTTCCTAAATACATTTTTTCAAACGCAATACATCCCGTTTTATCAACATCAAGCTACAGCCCATTACTAACAGCAAAACAGTGATCATGCTACCTAATTCAACCCTTCTGGTATGGTGCAAAACAACAGCAAAACAATGGACATCTAAATGAGAAAGTTGGTTAAACCCAATCAAAATGTAACACTGGTCCTTAAGCAATTTTACACCTAAGAAGACAACATATCTGAGTTCAGCATAGAAAACTGAACGATAAAATATAAGCAAATGTATAACTAAACCAATGAAGCACCTTTGGCTAAATCGTTTTTTATGGACGAAAAACAGTTGTTGTACTTTATATGAAAAAGCAAACCCAAGTGCTGAACAACTTAGTCAAAACCATCCATTCTAATATGTTATATGGACGTTGAATGGATTTTAAACTGCAGCTATCAAAACATAACGGCAATGCAAACTTCCACAAAGCAGCCCACACCTCAAAACCGCCAAGTGCAGCCTTACCTTCCCAGTGCTGGGGAGAGTCTGTGTCCGTGTGAAAGTGTCCCCTCCATTAATGCTGATCAGCTCTGCGTCTGCAGGCGGAAACGGTGAGGGGAAAACCACTACGTCACTCCTCAGCGTGTCTGAGCTAAAGCACACGTCGTACTGCTGAGTGGCTTTAGAGTAAGACCAGCTCCCATCAGGGTGTGTAGTGACCACTGGAGCGCCGCACCCGCTCAAACCGCCCTCTGACCCGTAGCATTTAGCTGCTATTAAACCGATGAGGCTCAGCAGAAAGATCACCGACACTGAGACAATAGCGATGAGCAGATACAGATTCAGATCAGAAAAGCCCTCCTCCTTCATCGGCACTTGTCTTAGGGAAGGCTGCACGCTGTCCAGACTTTCGACCACCACAACCTCAACAGTCACTGTAGCTGATAGTGAAGGTTCTCCATGGTCACATACTGTCACAACAAGTGGGTGAGTTTTCAGGTCGTGGTCACTCATTCGTCTCTTAGTCCTGATTTCTCCAGTGCTGCTACCAATGCGGAACAGATTAGTCCCCTTAGGTTCAGTGATGTGATAAGACAGCAGCGCATTATAACCAGAATCAGCATCTACAGCTCGGACTTTAGCCACAAAGTATCCCGCTTCAGCAGAGTAGGGGATGTTCTCAGTGTTTACTGACCCAGCTTCAGAGTAAGGAGGTAAGATAACTGGACTGTTGTCATTCTCATCCAGGATGAAGACGTTCACAGTCACATTGCTGCTGAGTGGAGGGACACCAGTGTCAGTGGCCTGAACTTTAAACTGGATCTGTTTGGTTTCCTCGTAGTTGAAGGACTGTAAGCTGTACAGTTCGCCTGTCAGGGAGTTTATGTTCATTAAAGTGGACACAGGGATTTTACTACCATCTCCATCAATTAAAGAATATGAAATATGAGCGTTTTCACCGATATCTGCGTCTTTTGCTGTTAGTGATGCCAGCAGGCCGCCAACTGGGCTGTTTTCTTTGACGCTGAGGTTTATGACGGGTGCTGGAAATAGAGGTGGATTGTCATTTACATCAGAAACATGAACGACTATGATTCCAGTGCTAGAAAGAGAAGGAGTGCCTTCATCACTGGCAATGACTGTGATGTTGTACTGGGAGGCCTGCTCTCTGTCCAGCGGTTCATTTACCACAAGAGAATATGAGTTTTTATAGGACGGCTGTAGCTTAAATGGACTCGCTCCTGCTATTTTACAGTCTACTTTTCCGTTTTTACCATCATCTTTATCTGATACAGTGATTAATGCTACATCAGCGCCAGGTTTGATGTCCTCACTTACCGAGTTCGTGAGCAGGGTGACTGAAATCTCAGGTGCATTATCATTTACATCCTCAACTTCAATCAAAACTTTACAATTTGAATGTCTTGGTGACCCGCTTTTGTCTTGAGCCTGGACTCTTAGTTCAATAGCTGGATTTTCCTCATAATCAATATTGCCTTTAATTGCTATATCTCCCGTTACGTCGTTTATTGAAAATAAGCGTGATGCTGAGTTTCCCTCTTGATCCACAATTGAATAAATAATTTCTCCATTTGTACCTTCATCTGAATCAGTAGCAGTGACAGTCAACATTTTCGTACCTAAAGGTGTATTCTCTTTTATCTTAACTTTATATAAAGGTTTACTAAATACTGGATTGTTATCGTTTATATCCAGCACATTAATTATTATATCCATCGTCCCTGACTTGGCAGGTTTCCCTCCATCAACAGCCGTGAGCGTGAGCTTAATAACAGCCTGCTTCTCTCGATCTAAAGGCTTTTGTAGCACCAATTCTGCTGACACACTCTGCTCTCCGTAGCTCTGAACATCCAGCGAGAAATGTTCATTTGGACTTAGCGTGTAGCTTTTTACCGAGTTTATACCCACATCCAAGTCTCGTGCTGAAGGCAGAGAAAAGCGATCTCCAGGTACAACGTGTTCTGTGATGTTCTTTACTAACTTCTGAAGCGGGAAGACTGGAGAGTTGTCGTTCACATCCGCTACATTCACCTCTACACGATAGAGCTTTACGGGATTCTGTGCCATCACCTCGACATTCAGCGCGCATCTCTGCTTACTCTCGCACAGCTCCTCCCTGTCGAGCCTGTCGTTCACAAACAGAGCTCCCGTTTTCAGATTCACGTCGAAATACCTCTTATTAGATCCAGCCACCACCTGAAACATGCGCGATTGCAGCTCCTGGACATCGATATTGAGGTCCTTCGCTATGTTCCCAACAACGGTGCCCTTCTTCACCTCCTCTGAGACGGAGTACGAAATCTGAGCGCGAGACAAACCCCAAAAAGATAAAAGCAGCAGCGCCCAGACTGAGCAAGGTCCTCCACTGACCGTGAAACCCATCGTTTATCTGCGTTTATTCTAGTCACAGATTTATAACATCGTTATTCCAAAGCCGTATAGAAAGCAAGATGATATCCAAGGCCTCCTCTGTGCACAACAGTTCTGTGGTGTGGTCTGCGTTTCGCTATATGGACCTCCTCTGTCTGATTACGCAGCACGGAAGGTGGAGAGGTTTGTTCATGAGACACGAACTTTCAGAATCACGGTCAACAGTGACACCGTGTGGCTAAAGTAAGTTTCACAGTTGAGCGCCATATTTATATACCTCTCCCTGCCTCAAATATAAATAACAATAATTATTCTACTAATAGCAATAAGATAAATAGTTCATTAGAATGAAAAGAAATAGAGCAGAAATCTAAAGCCAGGATCATGAATTGGTACAATTCAGCTTTGTTTACTATTAGATCTATTTCTGTCAGATATGTTAGCTTTCCACATAAAAGACTTTACAAATTCAATTCTTTATTTCTACTCCTGCATTCAGAGCATTCTTTATGAAGTTTGAGAAGGTCCCTTTCTTCAGTGCTTTAGAAAATTCAAATACGACTTCAGTGTCCTGAAATGTCCAATATTGGGCAAGTTGTTATTAGTTTTATTGGTGCATTCTTTAAAAAAGACGGTTTCTTAATTGATTCTTTAGTAAACACAATGGTTCTATATAGTATCTATACTCAAAATGGTTATTTGCATGGTAAAATGGTTTATCGGGTTGACGAAGCATGTACATGGTTCTACATAGCACCAATAGCTTTCTTATATTGTTATGATGTCAAGCTCGTAACAATAGAAAAAATCTTCTTGTTGCTATATAGAACGCTTTTTTAAAAAAGGTTTAATATAGGACAATATACCACAAATTGTCCATGAATCTGAAGAACATTTTTACCATACAAAGAACCTTTAAGCATGCCAATGTTTCTTTGAGTGCTCATGGTTCTATATAGAACCATTGTTTTTACTAAAGAACCCTTGAAGGAACATCTTCTTTTCAGAGCGTAATTGTGACTACTAGAGATTGCAAAGACGACGTCATCATATAAATATATTCAAAGAGGAGGTTAATATTTGTGAAGTCATAACATTAAAATAGATGGATGTCTTAGAGACAGAGCAGAAGAGCTAAGCTTCCCAAACACAACTGCCAGCACTGTCTCTGTCCATGGTCCTAAATACTATAGATTAGGTATATACGTTATTATATATCTCAACACATCGCGAACTCCCGCTGTAAGGTTTGCAAATATTCTCCCATCAATTATAAATGATATATAATAACATTTTATTAATTTTCTTACTTTAATAATGTTGTTTCCACCTAAATAAGACACGCAAGGTTTTGGAACAAAACTGCATACAAAGTCGGACGCAACACACAAAGAAAATCCACAAGAAATGCAGTGAGCCGGCTAAGTCATCTCTTCTACCACTCAACATATCATTGCATCACGTTGCGAAGTTTCGAGGGTTATTTACAACGGTTAGAAATGGACCTGGTTGTAAAGGGTTAACACTGTCAGATATGGGGAAAACATGACTACGAGAAGATGCTCAACCAAACTCGTAATGCTCTAATGTTTAAAAGTAGGAGAATATTTCGAGGCATTTTACACCTTTAGATTATGTTTATCATGGATTGTTGAACAAAGGCATAGGATGCATACAAAACCTAGACAACTCGCAAAAATAAGTAAATAAATAAATAAAATTTAAGTGGTTCTTTTCACGGTAAATGATTCTGCTCTATGTTGGAATAGATCTATGTAGCAGCAAGAAGACTCCACTAATTTTACAACACAAAGAACCTTTATGGTCGCATATCCACCTTATTATTCACGTGGCCACGGTGTTTCGAGATTATGGCTGAAATATCCGGTTAGGAAACGGAAGCGTCATTCGTTTCCAGTTTTAGCCAAGTCAAAGAAAGAGTGCTCACTTTTTTAAGTTACCGTTTTGTCCTATTAAATGTCTCGGAGGTGTTTCTGGAGTAACGTTTAGTTTGCGTCTGTCAGAAAAGCCGAGTGAAGATGAAATTATGGCAAGAACAGCAAAACTACAAGCATAAACAGTGCAGAGCTTCAGCAGACATGAGACTGTGGCTTCATAAAGACTCAGTGAAACAGCAAAGCTGTTAGAGTTGAAATCTCAGCCCATAAAATGCAACTAGATGATAAACTGTCCCTTTTTGCGCCCTTTAACTGGTTTACACATTATATTCTCTTCATAACTGGATTTAGTCCTCGCTAGTGTGCTGAGCAGGTAGCAGAAAGCTAGCTGGCTAACAGGCTAAAGCTACAATAATATAAGACAGACTTCAAGTTCAAATCCTTAAATAAGGCGTGATTTGAAAGCGGAGACACACAAAGTAAAAAATGTTACTTCCAGACCTGTTATGAGCAAAAATGTCTGTAAATAAACTAGAGATGACGAAAATGTCTAAATAGCGCCGAGCTAACCATGATAGCTTGACACTAACATGGCGACCATGGTGAAAATATAAGGAGCATTATCAAAGATTTCTACATGAGACATTGCTGTGCAATGACACTGCTTTATTAGACATTAATGGCTCTGCTTTATGGTTTCCTGGCTTTTCCTGACTCTCGGTGTAAACACAATTAAAAAGTTTAAATGAACTGAAGTGAGTAATTCGTGTAGGCTATAGAGACATACATAGTTATTTCTACAGCTGGACTGCCTACTATTCCCTCTTCCAACCTTTACAGATTTGGTGGCCAAGCCTTTTCCAGACTTGCTCCTCGGTTCTGAAAGTCCGCCACAGATTTAACCGTCAAGCTGTCTGTCTTTGTTCAAATCCAACCTTTAAAACACATCAAATTCTCTTGCATGCAACTTTCCTTTGTTTTGAACCCATTATAAATCATGTCTTGTCTTCTTGAATGTTGTGATTTATGTATTTCTGTTATCAGTTTGTTTGTTTTGTTTTTTTTTCCTTTTTTTAGATTATATAGTTTGTTTGATGTTGACGTTTTATGCTCAACCAAATTGTCATTTGTAAGCGTCTTTGGGTCTTTGGAAAGTGCTATATAAATGTAAGATATTATTATTATTATTATTATTATTATTATTATTATTATTATTATTTCAGCTTTCTGTTCACAGATCGATTAATATATAAGCATCAACACATAAGTATTCGAGCATCCCAAAAATAAAGATCATTCATATCTTTATTTAGTTCCACTTTTTGATCATTTTAGGTTCTTATTAGCTGTCAAAGTATTGTCTGTTTACGCTTTGCCGGAATTTCTTTCCATAAGTCACTCAAAGTATCAGTGGGCGCAGGAATGAGGTGGTTGGAACGATTTTTGCGAAGAGTGTATTTCAGTCAATAAAGAAACAGATGGGTAACATTAAACGTGTTAAAACTGATGATCGTGCCGCATCACATGGCACGTGGCAATATCGAAAGTACTAAACATAGAACCAAGTTTATAGAGCAATGTTGATTGCGTAAAGAAACTGACAAAGCTCTTCATGAGTAGCCAAACGTATTCGAGTTTAAACAACAAGAGCAGTCACCTTGACTTACTGCTACAAAGTGATTAAGCTACCTCAAAACCGAAACCTTTACAGATACTGAATTACCAAATCTTTCAAAGCCAAGAAGAAGTTCTACGATCTGGGCAGCAACGAATAACACATAAACGAACAGAATTCAAGCAAAGTCAAGTGCCGTCATGTCACATTTAAGTTAATGTAACCCAAACTCCAAACTCAATAACAGCCTTAC